TGGCCTCAGAGAATGCCAATATCAACAGCATTCCAGTACCAAATCCACAGCCTGCTACGTAACTGACCTTGCCCTCTAAGAATTTGCAATCTCAGCTGGAATAAGGAACTATTTATTTCCCTATGTGCTGCAACCCAACCTTGACCCCTCTAACAAGGCTGAGAATACCTTCTAGGCTCCTCTCATTTATTTCATTTACTGAGAACTTGCTGTGTGTCAGGAACTGGGAGCATTTCACAGACAGGAAGCTGAGGCTTGGAGAAGTTAAAAAACTCGTTCCAGGTTACAAGATATCAAGAGGCAGGACTGGGACTCACAGGCTATATGCATTATCCCTGAGCCATACTACTACTCTGAGCTGAATCAAAAGAAAAGAGCCCATTGTGTCCAGGACAGCAATCCTATCAACAACATCCTGCCCCTCCTCTGACCAGCAAGGTTGAGGCCAGACTTGGGCCGGAATCCTGCCCCAAATCTTACAATCCCTGACTCTGGAAGGGGTGATACATACTCACCATAAGCATGGGCACAATGTATCGCCAATTTTTATTCAGGGCATCTAGCCGCTTCATCTCTTCCGGGCTAAAGGTGAAGTCAAACACCTGGGGATAGGGAATGGGGGTCAGGAAAGCCACCTTTGTGAGTGAAAGTTGAGGTTCCCAAATGCTGCCTTCTTAGCCAGATAGAGTCGGGGCTAGACTGTGTCCCAATGGGCTAAAGAAGACAGCACCCATCACCAAGCACCTGGATGTTCTGAAGGATGCGGGAAGGTGTGACACTCTTGGGGACGCAGATCACTTTCCGCTGGACCTGCCACCTAAAGTGGGGGATTGAGGTAGATGAGGAAGAGGAGTCAGTATTCATAAGCATTGTTTTGTCCTCCATGCAACCTTCTCTAAGCTCCTAGAGGTCCTGAGCCCCAGTGGAATGGGGAACATGCCTCAGAGTGGCCTTCCCCCAGATTCACACGGCAAGATTCTCAGCCTCATCTAGGCACTGGGATAAGGAACGCTTCAACCCTTGCCTCCCAACCCAGGAGCCCCCTCCCCGACCTGACCTCCTTTCCCCAAGACTGACCACACCTGAGCAAGATCTGAGCTGGAGACCGGCCATACTTTTCAGCTAGTGCCAGGACCACTGGCTCCTCAAGCAGGACAGGCTCAGCAGGATCACGCCAAGCGCGATCAGAGGAGCCCAGAGGGCTATAAGCAGTCACCTCCAGGCCACGTGCTTGGCAGTGGGCAATCAGCTCGTTCTGAGCCAGGTATGGGTGGCATTCCACCTGAGCCAAGAAACAACCCATCACCATGGGGTGGCCACATCCAGCTTGCCTGGCCCCACCTAGGCATGCACATCCTGACCCCCTGCACTGCTGACCGCCCCCGCAGTTCCCCTCAGCCTGCTTTTCTCATTCGCCATTTTCCATTATCTATTTTATTCTCTTCCCACATTTCAATTCCCTTCTTTATGCAGAGGATTTCTCCACCAACACTTCTTTTGTTGTTTTTTTTTTAAGTTAATTTTATCTTTTGTGAGGAAGATCAGCCCTGAGCTAACATCTGATGCCAATCCTCTTATTGCTGAGGAAGATTGGCCCTGGGCTAACATCAGTGCCCATCTTCCTCTACTTTATATGGGACGCCACCACAGCATGGCCTGACAAGTGGTGCATCTGTGCGTGCCCGGGATCCGAACCTGCGAACCCTCAGGCTGCCGAAGCCGAGCGCGTGCACTTAACCGCTGCATCACCGGGCCAGCCCCTCCACCAACACTTCTGACAAGTTGCTAGCCATCTCCATGAAGCAGACCCATCATCTGCTCACTCATGCTCTTGCACACACACTCCTCCCCCAAACCAACTGATCTGCTTTGCTGTGCTCACCTGCAGGACAGCTGGGCGCACGGAGGCCACACTGAGCACATCATCGATCTGTCGACTGTTGAAGTTGGACAGGCCCAGGGCCCGCACTAGCCCCTTAGCCACCAGTGCCTCCATAGCCTTCCAGGTCTCCTTGTAGTGGGTGGAGTCATAGCGGACAGTCCCATCGGCATTCTTAGGGAAGGGGTTGTCTCCCTGCCTGAGTGAACGACAGCCCCCAAGAGTGGGCACAAATGCCAGGCTCCTGCCTTACCTGCCCATGCAGCCACTCTATGTCCCATACTCCAAGCCCAGAAAGGGCAAAGGACCAAGAATGAGAAACAAGCATGGTTTGTCACCATTCCAGATCATGACCCAGGTGTTAACTCTATAATGGAATGCCTGTTCCCCCTCTTCTTCCTCCTCGACCCAGATTATGCCTCCTCTCCTCTGGGAAGTCTTTGTTAACGCATTCCTCCTCAAGGGGTTGCATGCCCTGGCTGTCTTCTTCCAGCACAGGGCACAGAGCTGATAGCAGGCTCCCCTCCCCCACTCTGCTGGAGCTTATCCTTTACTACATGCAACTCCAGGGCCTTGATCAGCAGAAGCTGGTGCCTTTCCTGAATTAACAAAGGGAGCAACAGGGACCACTCATGTACACCCTAGGATACACACCATGTGAAGCTGCCCTCCTTTTTTCTGTAGCTAAACTGGCTTCTGTAGCAGAAAAGGCTGAGTTCCTATGGCAAGGTCCTCAGCTTGCCATACAGATAAGGGTTCCTCTCCTGCTCAGCTACTATGACTTATGATAAGTTACTAACACAACTCCTCCAACCCCCGACTCCCTGGATGAAGGCCCTGGCAAGGCTCACTCAAAGGCAAAAGGCCAGTGCATCAGGTACAGGTCCAAATACTCCAGCTGGAGGTCAGCCAGTGTCTTCTGGAGGGCAGGCGCCACATCCTCGGGGTGGTGCTTAGTGTTCCACAGCTTGGAAGTCACAAACAGCTCCTCCCGAGGGACTGCCTGGTGCAGAGGGCAGGGCCCATAGTGAGAAGAGCCATAGGCACCCAGTCTCACCCACCCTCACCTCTGGGAGAGGAATCAGAAGGAAACTGATGCCAGATCCCTCTAGCCAGGGCCTGGCCCCAGCCCCAGCCCCTGAGCTCTCTCACACCACCCATCTGTAGCTCCAGTCCTCACCTTGCCAGGTCCCACATTCTCCTTCAGGGCCTCCCCGATCTCGGTCTCATTGCCGTAGATGGCAGCACAGTCAATGTGGCGGTAGCCTACACTCAGGGCATACTTAATAGCTGCTTTTACCTGCCAGGTGAGAGAAGCAGAGGTTTCAGTTCTGTTGCTCTGGGCCAGAAACTGCCCTCCTGAGGGTCACTGATGGGGGGAGGTGGCAGGAATATACCACTGCAGTCATCCATGCAGTGGGGTGAGAAGACGGAAGACAGTTCTAGTCTAGGGGACCAGAAGCCTCTTCAGAGACCCCAAATCCTTAGTTCTCACCCTACTAACCTCCAGGGTTCCTTGCTACCCAAGCAATGTCAGCAGGGCCCAGCAAAACACTAACACTGTGTTCCCAGCTAGATACTCAGAAGACAGATGGATACATTGACAGAGGACAGAAGTATAGGTCATGGAGACAGGTCCCCAGCCCTGAGAAGCTGGTAAACATGATACACAGGTAAGTAATTCCTAGGCCAAGCCACACGGAGGGACTCTCAGGGAGCCAAGTAGACCAAGGGAGCTCGGGGAGCTCAAGGGAGCAGAAGAGATGAGAGGGGGAGAAAACTAAGGAAGGCAGAGAAGTGAGATGAAAGCTGGGCCCAGAGCCCTCCGTCACGAGAGAAGAAAGCAGGCACCAAGTACAACGACACGTCAGTCAATTTGCTAAAATCCAGACTAGAAACATGGCGTCAGAAGCAGAACCAAGGGTATTAGGCCCCTGCCATTCTAGAGCCCCATCTAGGTGAGGCTCTTACCATCCAGACATACTCTCCTCACCCCTGCCCCTACCTCTGCTGCTCCATGCCCCCCGTCTTGGCCCTGGCTCTGGCCTCCATCCACTGCCTTCATCTAGCTCCTGGACTTGTCCTGGGCCATGTCAGTGCCTGCCTGGAGCACAAAGACGCTGGCTCCAGGGTCCTAGGCAGCTGTAGGGAGGAAAGCAAAGGGAAAAAAGGCAGAGGCCATCCAACCACACCACAAAGACCAACCTAAATCCCAGACAGAAGAGGCTCTTCTCCCTGCCGGAGTCCCTCCCAAACTTAATCCCCAAACTTCTCTAAACCTAGACTCAGATTTCCAAGGAACAAGGAAGAAGCCCTGGGGAGATGTCCCACTCCAGGTGGGAGCTGAACCTCCAGCAGTGTCAACCCTAGGAAAACAGTATCCATTCCCAGGCTCCCCTAAGCTGCAAGGGTCTATACCAGGGGTCATTAAACTCCAGCTAGCAGCTGCCTTTTGTTTTTTCAGCCCTTGAGCTAAGAACAATTTTTACATTTTTAAGTGGTTACATAAGTACATAATCTCCTTCATTTTGCAACTTGTCCAGCAAAATCTAAACTATTAACCATCAGGTTCTTTAAGGAAAAGTTTGCTAACAGTTGCCCTAGTTATTCTTCAAACCCTGACACCTGCTGCGTGCCTACTCTGGACTGAGCGCTAGGGAAAGGCCCAGCCCTCCAAGGCACCCAGTATGGGAGACATGATCACAGCACAGGGTGGTAAGTGCCATATGAGGGGTCGGCACAGGGCCAGGCACCGAGGGGTCCCATGTCTGCCACAGCACTCAGTGCAGATCCAGTCAGGGAAAGGGTTCCTTTGTATGCCCTTGGCCCTGCTGGGCCCCTCAGGCACTCCTCTGAGTCAGCTGGGGAAGCCAAGGGCTCACTGCTGGTCCCTTCTTGTTTCTTCCAACTGACCTCCAGGTTCATTCCTACCTGGAGTATGGGGGTGGGGCTGCTAGGAAAAATGTAGGGACCCTCTCCCAAATACTGCCTTTTCCCTGGCAGAGGTGCAAGAAGCCCTCCTCCTCTTCCCTCATCCCTCACCTGCCCAGGCTCACTCTTCCAGGTGCCCAGTCCAATCAGGGGCATCTTCTGCCCAGTGTGCAGGAGAACACAGGAAGCTGCCATTGCCCCCTGAAACACAGACAGGGAGAGAATGGTGCGGAGGTCAGTGCTGCTGGCTGGGCCTCAGCTACCCACCGGTCAAGACTCCTGTAAAACATGGGAGGGAAAGGGGTACAGAGGTGACAGGAGAACAAACATGCAGTTGTGTGCATGTGCCTATGAGCAGAGGCAACTGAAACACGGTGCCCAGAACGTACCAAAGCCAGTAGCTCCTGGACAAACCCTAACTGGACCACCAGCCTGGCTGCCCTTCCTTCTACCAGGCTAAAGGTCTGTATTAAAGAGCTCCAACACCTAAAAACAAAGGCAGAGTGTCTCTCCAGAAGGACCCAGCCTTGATTACATAATGTCTCAAGCCAGTGTAAGACAGGCAAAGGTCATTATGAGACAAAGCGAGACCAGGTGACAGAAGAGGCTCAGGAAAAGGTCACTCCTCTGAGGATGAAATGAACATTCCCAGGAGGTTGTCAGAACTACAAAGATTCTCTGAGTCCCTCTCACAGAGATCGGCCATGCTGACAGGCCCGAGTGGGCTCTTATAAGGAAAGTACAGCATTTTTTAGATAAAAAACAGGCTCAGACAGGTGAAGTTACTCACCCCAATCAACATCTAAGAAGTGGTAGAGCTTGGGGCCAGCCTGGTGGCGTGGCAGTTAAGTGCGTGCAGTCCACTTTGGCGGCCCGGGGTTCGCGGGTTCAGATCCCGGGCCCGCACCGAGGCACCACTTGTCAAGCCATGCTGTGGCGGCATCCCACATAAAGTAGAAGAAAATGGGCAGGGATGTTAGCCCAGGGCGAGTCTTCCTCAGCAAAAAGAGGAGGATTGGCACTGGATGTTAGCTCAGGGCTAATCTTCCTCACACACAAAAAAATGGGGCTGGCCCGGTGGCGCAGCAGTTAAGTGTGTGCACTCCATTTCGGCAGCCCGGGGTTCGCAGGTTAGGATCCCAGGTGTGCACACGCACGGCTTGTCACGCAGCATTCCATATAAAATAGAGGCAGATGGGCACGGATGCTAGTCCAGGGCCAATATTCCTCAGCAAAAAAAGAGGAGGACTGGCATCGGATGTTAGCTCAGGGCTGATTTCCTCATCAAAAAAGAAAAACAAATAAGAAGTAGCAGAGCCAAGGACCCAAGGAGGAGCTAATGGAAAAAGGCAAGAAAAAGGCAGGTAAACACAGACCTATAAAATACATGTGCAATGCCTCACAGTAAACACATGTAAAATGTGCTGTGCTACAGAAAACCAAGTGATTTCTGTAGCGCAAGGACCATGGAATATTGACATTGGCTTTTAAGAACTGGACTCTCCCAAGAGTCAAGGGGAAGGGGAACTAGACACAGGACATCAGTGCAGCAGAAAGCAGTAAATTACAGATAGAAGAAAATTTCCAACTGAGCAAAGCATGTGAGTGATTGGAACAACCACCTTTGGAGAGCTAGGAAAATCAGAAGTCTCCAAATGGCGCAAGAATACTCATTCAGTCAGCAAATGATGAATGTTCCAGGCCTTGTGCCTGACCCAAGAGACACACATATTCAAGTAGAGTCTCGGCTCCCCTGGAGTTCATGTTCTGGTGGGCGGAGGACAGAGGATGTCCAGCACAATGTATAAGAGAGATGACCAAAATCTGCACAAGTGCTGCAAGAAAAGAGGAATCTGGCTAGGATGGCTTCTTGGAGGTGATATCTGACTCAAGTCAAGTCTGAGTTAAGTCAAGTCTTAAGAAACAGGAGTCATCCAACCAAAAAGCAGAAAGAACACTCACCACACCAAGAGCCAATAATGTAGAAACAACCTTTTCCCGTGAACTCATCAGTACTATAAATATCACTCTCCCTGGATTAACTTCATTGTCAACAGTGCCTTTATAAATATAACCTTTGTTTCCAAGTTCTGAAAGGACATCAAGATTATTACGGTAGAGCAGGTGATAAGACAAGTGATGAATACAACCAATACACTAAAGTTGTCTTTCCTCATACTTTTGACTCAGGAAGAATTTTAGAGTCTAGTATAACCTGGTTATGGTAAACATGCTCTTTTCTGTTAAAACAGAAACAAAAATGTTCAATCTGGGCAGCAAACCACAGATCGCTGAGGGCAATACTCTTTGTTATCAAACTTCTTAGGGGTCAGGCAAGCATGTCTGGACTTCACAGGAGGAACTAGCCTGCCAGCTGCCACCAGGGTCTGTGACTAGTTTCCTGGACTTGATCCCCAAACAAGTGACCTATTGGTCTCTCCCCGATTTCCCAGCACACATGGGAGGGCTCTGAAATTACACCTGGGCTGAGAGCTTGAACAAACACCAGCCTGAGGGGAAAAGGAAGAAGAAACCTGATGTCTGCTTCTCCTTTTCTTTTGCTGGTGAAACTGAAAACCAAAATGAGGCTTGGAGGGCAGGGCAGGGATCAAGAGGTAGGAACACCTAAGAAAGATCTGCAAAGAACAAGAGTTCCAAAGGAACTCTTTGGAGAGGGTGCAGCACAAGACAGATGTTTGTCTTGAGGACAGGAAGTCATCCTATGACAGCTCTTGACTTCCTCATCTTCTGCCTGACTCAACGGCTTTCCAGCCTAGCCCTGCATTAACAGGCTCTGAGTCTGTCAGGAGCTGCAGAGCTGGACCTCTGGCAGCACTCAGAAACCCGCATGTTATCTTGGGAGAGATTCTAGATATAAAACAGAGAAACTGAGTGTATGTGGTGGGGTGGGGGGGAGTATCAGGACTCAGGTTTTATTATTCCAACTCAGTGCCTGCCTTCCTTCTCGCTGGGGCTCAGTCTTCTCTTCTCAGAGGAGGGCTCTATAGTTCCTGCCTGGACACAGGGAACTCGAAAACACAGGAAAAAGTGGAAGCAGTATTTACATGAGTGTCCCCTGGCTGCATGGGCCTTTCCTCTGCCTCCCATCAATGTCGGTGTCCCTCAGGGTTCTGTCCCCAATCCTTTTCTCACTCCCTAGTTGAGCTCATGTCTTCAGTTACCACCTTAGGCACTGATTCTTCCCACCAGTTCGGTCTATTCGGCTCCCTTTGGACATCTCCAGTGTATGTCCTACAGGCATCTGAGACTCAATGTGTCCAAAACTGTACTTGTCAAATCCAGCAGCAGAGTGCAGAGGAAACAGTTCAAACTACGGGGTTGCATAGACCTGGGTTTGAATCTCAGCCCCCCCATTCTTAAGAGATACTATATCTAAAGCACTTTGCACAGTGCCTGATCCCCGCTTTCTTTCTGTATACTCTGTCTCACCACAGACTCAAGACCCTGGACAATGTGTTAAAGCAAACCAGACAACATGTTCACAGCATAATCCATGGGGTCTTAAAAAAGCCATCTAAATAAAGTATTTCAGTTCATTTCTGGCCTTTCTGAGTATTATCAGATTCTAGTCTTGACAGGTGAAGGGGAGGGGAGTACATCTTCTCCTGTAATTCTAAGAAACCAACATGGGCAATGGTGGCTCAGATTTGGTCTGTTTGGGTGAGTTAAAAATCCTGTTAATACTTGTAAATATAAAAAAAGACAGTGTTTGCTCTAAACTGTAATGTAAAACCTAAGACTGAAATAACACTTTGTGTACTTCTTAATGTATGTGAAAATAATTTAAAAATATATACTTCCTAAATCTTTCTCCAGTCCATCCATACTTCCCTCCACTGCCACTATGTTAGCTCTGACCACCCTGACCTGAACCAGGGATCTCTCTGCTTCCAGTGTCTCCCTTCTTCCCACAATCCATTCACCAAATGCAACCATGTGACTCTCAGGCTCAAACTCTTCCAGCAGTTCTCTCCTACCTTGAGGATAAAGTCCAGACTCTTTAGTAATACTCTTCATAATCTGGCTTCCCACCTTCCTCATTTCTCCACCTCCTCATTTCCAGACTCCAGACTCCATGTTCCAGACTTTGCAGAACAAGCCACCACTCATTTGACTCCAGGCCTCTGCACACTTTCCTTCCCCAAGTCTCACCTTTGCTCGGCTGACTGCTGCTAATCCTTCAGCTGGCACTTTAAATTTCTGACTCCTCCCATATACATCACTGTATTTGTGTGTTATGTTTCTCCTACAAACCTAGGTACTCCTTGAGGTCAGGGCCCATCATCTGTCTGAACTCCTCACTCCCAGAGTGCATGCTCCATACATACATACACATACACTAAACACCCACAAAGAGAGGCAAATGGGGGTGATCTTGACAGTTGGACTTTGGCCAGCTGGAGGGGTATTTGAGGAAGTCACTGCCTCCATCGCCAGCCTCCTTTACTTCTTGGGTAACCTGGAAAGAATCATCTCTGCAAAATATCAAAACACTTTAGCCACAAAAAATACCAGTGGCTCCAGACAGGATTATGCTAGGATTGCTCCTGTATTTCAGATGACAAAACTTAGACCTTGGGAAAAGTAACATGCCGGAGCAGAACCACCAGCCCTCTTCTAAGGGAGGTCGTACAGCCCTGAGTGTGGACAAGCTGAAAGGAGGAGTTAATTAATAGCAGCCCCACCCGGTGAAGGTTCAGAGTCGGTGAAGGTTCAAATTCGTCTCACTTAAAAAAGTGGCAACAGAAAAACATTCTCTGGGGCAACAGATAAACATGCCAAACCCAAGGCAACTGCCTAAGTAAGAGAATTCTACCCGCTCCCGCCACTTCTGAGAAGCCACCTCTCCAATTCCATAGGAAGGACAGAGCTCCTGGAAAAACTATGTCGTTGAGCAAACAAAAAAGATGGGAACTAAAACTTACTGAGCACCTTAAGTGTGTCGGGAGCTTTAAAAACTTTATCTCACTTAATTCTCGCTACAGTTCTGATGTAGGAACTCGTTTCACTGCTGAGGAAACTGAAGTCCAGAGAAACCGGGAACTCATCCAAGATCACACAGCGAAGAAGAAAAGTTCAAACCCGAAACCAAGTCTGGCCGCCTCCAGAGGCTACGCTCTCCGCTCTATCTAGGGAGCGGACACCTTTGGAGAGAAAGATGGGGCAGCAGCAGGAGGAACTCACCTCAGCACGAGCCCAGAGCGTGAACAGGGGAGTGTGAACTCGGCTCAGCTCGGCGCCCTGCTAAGGATCCAATGGGCCTCAGCTTCCGGGAATGGTGGGCTGCAACGAAAGTCACCGGAAAGTGGAGGCAGGGATCAGGCTTAAGTCTGGCGGTGAAGAGGCTGCTCCTCCCAGAGGAGGGACGGAGGCCGGGCGTTCAGCCGAACTGGCAGTGGTGGACCCCGCCTCTTACCCCCGGAAAAGAGCTCGGGGGTTGGGGTGGAAGTGGTGAGCATGCCAGACCTGCGAGGCTGCACCATCCCCGCCCCAGGGTGCTGGTGGTCCCACTGGGACCAGCACGGACAAACGAAACCCCCAAGTTTGGAGAATGCGCCTGCACAGCGAAGCATGCGCCGCTGACCACGGAGGGGGCCCTGGGGGCGGGGCCAGGCTGAGCCTCTGCTGGCCCACAGTGCACCGCGCGTGGTGGCCACGCCGCTCTAGGCCGTTGGAGCTCATTCCCCTGCCGCAGGGAGGAGGCTTCCTGAGTGCCACGTTTCGTGTTTTTCTGGTGTCTTGTCCTGCAGCGCTCACTGCCTGGGGTTTCCCCTCTGTGGGGGAAGAGGGAGAATCCCCGTCTGCCCTTTCCGTCTAGGTTCTTATGGCTGGCCAAATAATTAATAAGATAGGTTAGCAGGAGAAAATAATACCAAGTTTAATAACATGTATACATGGGAGAAACCGGGGACACTGAGTTTCTCAACACAATAGCAGAAATTCTCTTGTTAAATACCATCTTTAGCTAAGAACAAAGGAGGATATTGAGGGTAGGGGGAGTCAGTTCCAGGAGATTACCACTGAAGCAAGTAAACAAGAGTAAGGTTATTATGTAGTTTTAAGGCCTCACATTCCACATTGATAAGTTTCTAGAAATGAGGCCATCCCCCCCTCTTCCCAATACAGAGAGAGAGATACCTTTACAAATGGAGATTTCCCTTATAAATGTAAATGTTTGTCTGGCAACTCCTTGCAGGGCCATCTAGAGAATGTGGCCAGAGAGACAGAATTTTTGATAAGATGGGCTTGTTGGTGCCTTTCCTATTGTAACATCTATTTTACATTATATTACAGCCATCAGATAGAAGATCTGTTCCAGGAAGGAGTTACTATGTCAAATTCTTTAGGCAGTTAGTGGGGGAGGTCAAATGTCCCTCAGAGAAAACAATCAAGGTAAAGAGATATATTTCAGGGTGACCAAATCTTGATCTCCCACATCCCCATTCTCTCCATTAGAGTTGGGTGGGCCAGCTGCCCAGATTTTATCTAATCTTATTTGGTGGGGCTAACTGAGGCCATAGAGAGCAGCCACAACACAAAGGCTGACCATAACAAGGAAGACCTGGGGTCTCCGGACTCCAGGACATAGAAAGTTCCTCGTCTCTCTATCTGGTCGGTGGACCCTGGCCACGGCTTTATGTGCCAAGCACTGTACCAGGCTATAAACATGATTTTATTGAATCTTCACAGCAACCCTGGAAGGAGGATGTTCTTTTCAATTTTATTTCTTGTAAGCCTTTATATGGAAGTATAGCATACATACAAAAAAATGCACAAATCTTAAACGTAACGCTCTGTGAGGTTTTTTTTTGCAATGTAGCTACTATCTAAACGAAGATAGACGTTACCAGCACACTGGAAGCCTCCTGTGAGGAAGTTAGGTATTCACATTCCGTTTTACAGATTGGGCAGACTCAGCAGGTAAATTAGCTTGTCCAAAGTCAGACGGGTATTAAGTTAGAGATTTGAGATTTGAAATAGCCCTTGCCGTTTCGGCTGAGAGATGTCTTGAATTTGTGTTTTCCTTGGCAGGAGTTGGGAAGAAGCAGGTTTGTCCCGGTGTAGCCCTGCCTTTCTCTCCCCACACCTTGGTCTTCCCCCATCGCCCCAGGCGCTGCTCTTCTCTTTTTTTACCCTCCCCCCCCAATTCCTCACCACTGTCTCCCCAATACAAATGGCGTCCTGAGGGACCAAGTGCCCAACGTTTCACACCAGATATCCTCATAATGACATTCAAATTTCGGCTTATGTGATCAGAATTTAGGATCCTTCAAACTCAGCCCAGCAAAGGTTAACCATCAATAGACACATCCTATGTATCCCATCCCTCCCACTATCTTCTGCAGGATCTGATGGACTGCCTCAATTTTTTTTTCTTTCTTTTTTTTTTTTTTTGTGAGGAAGATCAACCCTGAGCTAACATCCATGCTAATCCTCCTCTTTTTCCTGAGGAACACCGGCTCTGAGCTAACATCTATTGCCAATCCTCCTCCTTTTTTTTCTTCCCCCCAAAGCCCCAGTAGATAGTTGTATGTCATAGTTGCACATCCTTCTAGTTGCTGTATGTGGGACGCGGCCTCAGCATGGCCGGAGAACCCGGGCCACCAGTAGCGGAGCACGCGCACTTAACCACTAAGCCATCGGCCAGCCCTCAATTTTTTTTTCTAGTGAGTCTGACTTCTTAAAAGTCTGAAGGGCAATAATCAAGTGGTGACCTTGCCATCTGACGAACTGCTGAGTCATTATAACCAGCTCCCTCCTTCCCCAGCCCTGGGGATTTTGCTCTTAATTGTGGCCACAAGGATTGTTACAAGCAAGGCACAACACTGGCCCTCCAAGAGTGTTGCCCTCCGAGAGTGTTCAGAGCAATAGTCATCAGATTGATGGTGTATTGTTTTCGAAAACAGATTGGCTTGAGAACACACCACTCCTTGGGGCCGGCCTGGTGGGTAGCGGTTAAGTGCGTGCTCTGCTGCTGTGGCCCGGGAGTTCCCAGGTTCCTGGCACGCACCGCGCACCGCTTGTCAAGCCATGCTGTGACGACATCCCATATAAAGTAGAGGAAGATGGGCACAGATGTTAGTCCAGGGCCAATCTTCCTCAGCAAAAAGAGGAGGATTGGCAACAGAGGTTGGCTCAGAGCTGATCTTCCTCACACCCACACACACACCCACACACAAAGGACTCTTGGAAATACTGATGACTCTAATTGTTGGGTCATAAATGCTTATGCAAGTCGTTTCCAATTCTTTGTTTTGAAAGCTATTGGTGAAGGCTGGTAGACCATTAAAAATAATTTTGGATGATAGATTTTGTGATTTTTGTCATATAACTTGAAAAGAGTTAAAACAATTAAGTGACATTGCTTTAATAATACTTCTATTTTCATCCACTTATTTATGTGAACAAGTTATCTTAGTGCTTGTAACTGAAGGGGAAGAAGACTATCCTCATCCACTCTGGGTCCTTTCTGGCTGGGCTACAATTTAAATTGACATGAGACCAAATAGCAGGAGAAAATCAGACAAAGCTTTATAACATGTATACATGGGAGAAACTCAGAAAATAGAAACTGAGCAATTCATCATTCTGACTAAGTTGCTCTCTTAAGTATTTTTCAGCTCAAGATAAGGAGGGTGTGGGGGTAGTGGTTTGGGATTTCAGAGGGGAAGAAGAAAACTCACGTGGAGATGGAAATGCAAATGTTTGTCAGACAACTCTTTACAGGGCCAATTATAGAGAATGTGGCTGGAGAGACAGAATTTTTGACAAGATGGGCTTTTTGGTGCCTTTCTTATCACATCTATTTTACATTATACTTCAGCTATCATATGGTAGTGGCTTCTTCCTGGAAAAGCCCTTCTATGTTAAATTTGTTAGGCAGTTTGGGAGGGGAAGGTCAAATGTCCTTCAGAGAAAATAATCAAGGTAAAGAGATATTTTGAGGTGGCCAATTTTGATCTCCCACATGTCTATCTATACAAACAAAAACTAAGAATGGAATTGATGTTGAACTCTGTCCATTCTAAAAATAAGTAATATTCATCCACAGGTACAAGAATTAAATGGAAAAAAGAAAGAAAGATAGAAGCCATAGCCCAGCTCATTTTTATGTTTAATAAGTAATAAAATTTGTACTGTATGTTATTTTGATCAATTATGTAACAATAATAGTACTATTTTTAAACACAATCATAAATTTTTTTAAATTATATAAATTCATTTGTATGTTTTGATTGCAGAAAAGGATGATAAAATTTTCAAGCATCAGACTATATTATATTAAGACAATATTCTCTGGGGAAGTAGACTGAAAAGCAAATTCAAGGAGAAAAATGAACAATAAAAAATTAGCAACTATTGAGCTTGTTTTTTTTAAGTGGATGATGGTGGGAATCAAATTGTTCTGGTATTTACAATTAACTGGAGGGCCGGCCCCGTGGCTTAGCAGTTAAGTGCGCGCGCTCCGCTACTGGCGGCCTGGATTCAGATCCTGGGCTTGCACTGATGCACCGCTTCTCCGGCCATGCTGAGGCCGCGTCCCACATACAGCGACTAGAAGGATGTGCACCTATGACATACAACTATCTACTGGGGCTTTGGGGAAAAAAAAAAGGAGGAGGATTGGCAATAGATGTTAGCTCAGAGCTGGTCTTCCTCAGCAAAAAGAGGAAGATTAGCATGGATGTTAGCTCAGGGCTGATCTTCCTCACACACACACAAAAAAACCGTTAACTGGATATACTTAAAGGAGATTATTTTATTTTATTTATTTATTTATTTTAATAATTTTATGTAAACTTTTTATTTTATTTTTTATTTATTTTATTTTTTCCCCCAAAGCCCCAGTAGATAGTTGTATGTCATAGCTGCACATCCTTCTAGTTGCTGTATGTGGGACGCGGCCTCAGCATGGCCAGACAAGTGGTGCGTCGGTGCGCGCCCGGAATCCAAACCCAGGCCTCCAGCAGTGGAGTGCACGCACTTAACTGCTAAGCCATGGGGCCAGCCCTAAAGGAGGTTATTTTAAAATATCAATTTATACCTATCATGAAAAGTATGTGATGGGGCTCATAGTTTTCAAATTTATTTTAGAGAGTAGTAGAGCAAAAAGTTTAAGGATTATTAATCCAGAGAGCCAGAATATTCTTAACTTGATGGAATCAGATATCTCAAACCTCAGAGAAAGTGTTACTGCACAAAATTGGGGTTCTCTGCCCAATGCAGATAAACAAGCCAATTAATTATGGCATCAGCCTTTAGGAGGAGAAATCAG